TCCAGGAAACCAGAAGTTGAACCTGGGTGTATTTTTCCACTGAGTAACTGAAAAGCCCTGGAGTTCAGCTTCCCTGCAGTCGTTTCTCTTCTAGGCCTTTCTCTGTCTCTCTCCCTCCCGCCCACCCCCTCCCCTCTTCATAAATTTTTAAAATTCAAAAAAATACGACATAACAATAACTTCACATATTTGTATCCAGAACTGACACTTTAACATTTTGGTCTTCTTTGTTACGAATCTTTTCTCCTTTAAGAAAAGAAATAGTTTAGTAGTTTAATAAAATAAATACTTCAACAGTTTGTTCTTTATCCCAGACTCATTCTGCTTTCCTAAGGTGATCTTACTTGCCATCTTTTCATACTTCACACATATACTTGATTATAAATGTTATGTAGTTGTTTTCTGTATAGTTTTAAAAAATAAGACAAACACTGATCAACGCAGATGACAAGATGGTGATCACCGGAGGGAAGGGTGTGAGGGGAGGTAATGACGGGTAAAAGGGGTCAAGTGCATGGTGACAGGAGACTTGACTTTGGGTGGTGAACCCAATGCTATATAAAGACCATGGGCTATAGAATCATGTACTTGAGACCTATATAGTTTTATTAAGCAATGTCACCCTAATAAGTTTAATAAATTTTTAAAGAAAGTTTGTGCAAACTGTTATATGTATATATTGGTATGGTGTTGGGCTTATTTTTTTCTTGTTTGACATGAAGTTCTCTTTCAAATATAAAGACCTGCTCCAATGCAGCTTATGTATTTAACACATCTTAATTTTTTCTTTTTAAAAAATTAAATTTATTAAAGTAAATTGGTTAATAACATTACATAAATTTCAAGAGTACTTTATAATTTGATATCTGTGTATTCTATTGTGTGCTCATCATCCAAATCTAGTTTCTTTCTGTTACCGTACATTTGACCCCTTTACCCAGTTCACTGTCTCCTGACTTCTCTTCTCCTGACTTCTCTCACCATTCCATTCATGAGTTTGGTTTCATTTGTTTTGTTTGTTTGATACTTTTTTGTTTTACATTCCACATATGAGTGAAATCATAAGGTTTTTATCTTTCTCCATTTGACTTATTCCACTTAGCATAACACCCTTAAGGTCCATCCATGTTGTTGCAAATGGCAAGATTTCATTCTTTTGTGTGGCTGAGTGGTTTCTTTATTGTTAGACACTTGGGTTGTTCTCAACTTTTGATTCTGACTATAAATGCAGCGAATATTCTGGCATATGTCCCCTTGTGCGCCTGTGTGGGAATTCCTTTTGGGTGAGTACCTGGAAATGGAAGTGCTGGGCCATGAAGTGTGCCAATCTATTATTGTCCAGGATACTGGCAAATTGCCCTTCAAAGTAGTTATACCAATTTAATGGTCCCCCCAACAATGTAAGAGAAATTCTTTGCATCCTTAGAAATGTTTTATATTGTCAACTTTTAAACATTTTGTCACTCCAGCATGGGAGGAATGATGTATCATTATTTAATTTGCATTTCAGATTCCTTGTAGGCTGAGCAGCTTCTCATGTTTCTTGGCTATTGAGGTTTCCCCTTTGTGAATTGTCTGTTATTAACTTTACTGATTTCCCTTCTAGTCCTACAATGCCTCACTGGTGGCTAAGGAGAGTCCCTTACGGGTAGATTTCATGACTGTTTCATAACCATCAGCTACCATGTGGGCACCTCTGCAGATGGTAACTTAAATGAAGGGGAATTCCTGACATCTGGGAAGATACTTGCCAACCTTTTAATCCAGTTCTTCTGTTAATTTTTCCATTTTGAAGGGAGAAAAATTCATTACTTATCTAGGAAATTTCTGTCTCCACAGAGGAAGAGTATTCTGTAGTAACCATTTCTTTGTCATAATTTTATATGGTTCTTTTGATGGTTTCCCACAAAATCGCATGTCTAGTCTGAGATCCAAGAACAGTTATGCTTTGCTTAATGTCTGATTTATTTTTATCTCATGAACACTATGAAATAACCACTGACCAAATTTATTTCCCATTCCTTTTTTCTTTGGGTGTTGGTAACTAGGAAGCCTAGAAATAAGCTTGTGGTTTTTTTTCTAACAAGTATACACATTTTAGAACCTAATTCCTAGCTCCATTGATGTCTCTGCCCTTGCTTTTCTTTCTTCTATGCCTTTCTTATTTATTTATGTATGTATTTATTATTTATTTATTTATTAATCCTCACCTGAGGATATGTTTATTGATTTTAGAAGGAGAGGAAGGGGGAGAGAGGGAGAGGCAGTGAGAGAGAGAGAGAGGGAAACATAGATGTGATGGAAAAACATCAATCAGTTGCCTTTCATATATGTCCTGACCTGGACTTGAACCTGCAGCTGTTGGGTGTACAGGATGATGCTCCAACCAACTGAGCCACTTGCCAGGGCTATGCCTTCCATTTTCATTTATCCTAGCTCATTGTAGTTTATTGAGTACAACTGAGGAGTTTATGGATTAAAAATCTCATGAAAAGTGAAGTAAAAATAAAATAGAGGGTATAATTAACTAAAACATAAATGCTCTGTGCCACAGTTGAGTAGGTACGATTGCGTGGCAGGCCCTGTGATTAGCATGGAGGATGCAGTGATGTCCAGGCAAAGAGAGTGGATGTTTTCAGAACCTTGATGGCCAACATGCTAGCTCAGCTGTAAGCAGCAGACAGGCCTTCTGAAAGTCCTACTTGTGGCCCCAAATGAAACATTACCCACATTATTTACCCTTTCTTGTTTTTTTACTGAAGTTTTATAAAAACGCATTAAAATTTAGGGCTCTCTGGAGTGCACTTCTTATTGGGAGCTAGTTTAGAAGGAGGTAGTCACTGTGGTCTCTATTGAAAATGTTAATGGAATGAAAATCTTGGAAAAATGTATCTAATATGTGATAATTTTGAAGCATTTCATAAAAACTCTTGATGTTGAAAATTGTTGTTTGTCATTAAGTTGGAATCTTAAAATGCTTCCTGCTGTGTATGGTAGAAGGAGATAAAAGAATGAATCTTTTCTAATCCGTAGCTCAGTGGATTGAGCGCGGGCTGCAAACCAAAGTGTCGCAGGTTCGATTCCCAGTCAGGGTACATGCCTGGGTTGCAGGCCATGACCCCCAGCAACCGCACATTGATGTTTCTCTCTCTCTCTCTCTTTCTCTCTCCCTTCCCTCTCTAAAAATAAATAAATAAAATCTTTAAAAAAAAAGAATGAATCTTTTCTACACATTGATTAAGTGCCAGGCCCTGGGTACCAGGAGAACCAAGATCTTTGAGTGGAGGATGCTTTTCTGTTTTGGAGGTTCCATTTTTATGTAATGGGAGGCAATGGTTATATGGGTAGTTTTAAAATTATTTCTCTTTGGTGAAATTTTGTTCCCTCAGAGAATTTACTTATTTTATTTCTAAAATCTGTTTCCTAAAAATGGGTGCCCTGACTCTTACCATAAATCTTTGTTTTGTTTTGTTTTGTTTTGGGATTAAGTAGAAGGGATCTAGAGATGCTGTATTTTCTCCCCAATTGGTTACTTTTTAATTTTTTAAAATTTTAACTCATGTTTGTAACAGCAGGGTTATATGTTTGTTTTCAGTGTCTTAGTTGGAATATGCTATGTATCTTAATGAACAAGAAAGGGAAAAGCCATCCTTGCACAAGTTCCTGTAGTGCCTTTGGAACTCCAAGTGTTGCCCATCCATCCATCCATCCATCCATCCATCGCCTGTTGAATACCTACCTTGTGCAAGATACTATGCTAGATGCTGTGGGATACATTAAGAAATATAAAACAGGATCCAGCTGTCTTCAGAGAGGTTGTGATCTAAGAAAAATGGAGAGACAGGTTCTCAAGTAACTTCCACAAGGTGATTCCGTGGAGGCAATTTTAACAGCTTTGTGTTCCTGTTACTAGATTTGTGTTTTTGGTTGCAAATGACAGAAATTCAGGGAAAAAACTCAGTTAGTGAAATCTAACCCTAGAGATGGCTGGATCCAAAGGCTCAAATGACATTTTCAGTGTTCTATCTCTCTTTGTATCTCCTACCAATCTTTTCTGCTGTGTGCTGACTTTATTCTTGGACAGTCTCTTTTCTTGTGGCAGAAAAATCTCTCATGGAAGACCCAGCCCTGTGTAATCTTTCAGCTATGATTCCAGAAAGAGAGAGAGAGAGAGAGAGAGAGAGGCTCCCTGTCCCAGCATTCATGTATTTAATTTTAGGGAAGATTCTCATTGGTCTAGTTGAGGTTGCATGCCCAACTCTAAGCCAGTCGACATGGTCAAGGGGACAGAATTCTCTCTCCAGTCAGAATCACCAGTTTGTTTCTGAATTTGATGGTTTGAGGGGTAGGAGTAGAGGAGAGTTCCTAAAGAGAGTGCACTCCCGCCACGTGGGTTTGTGAAACTTGCTTCCTGAATGGGAAATCTGATGTTATTACCGATAGAGGCAGAAAGAAGGATGCTGGGCCAGGAGAAGAGAGAGTGGGGAGGGGGATGGGAGGGAGGGAAAGAGAGAAAAAGGGAGGGGAATCTGCCGCAGTGTTTTAGGAGGTGAGAGGAGGGAGTCATTGCTTCTCTTGGAATGTGAGCAAAGGTGTGATTCGTCTTGCATGTGATGATGCCAGCATCCCTGTGGCTGTTGCCATAAGGGTGGACTGCTTTTGAGAGGCAGTAAATGCATTTCCAAGTTATTTTTACTTCTAAGCACAGGGGATACTATGAAAGGGGAGGAAAATGGAAATTGTTAGTAGAATGAGTAATAAAAAACTAAGAAAAATGAAGCCTGGTGAACCTGCCATTGACCATGATGGCTGCTCAACCCTGGTTTGTCTGTAATCACACTCAGTTTTGCTCCCCTAGCTGCATTTTTTTTCAATGGTAAGGTTAAGTTGGGTGGGGAAAGATCACCTTGAGCACCCTGGCGAGGTTGTATGGAAGTTACCCATTCTTTTATGTACTGTTTACATTCTGAGTCAATGGTTGTCACTCTGTTTTTTTGCAGTTACATTGCAAATCAGAAAAGATTAGAAATCATCAACGAAGATGATGTTGAAGCTTACGCAGGACTGAAAAATCTGTGAGTACTCAGGACTTGTGTACTTTATCTCAGAACTTTTTTTTAGCTAGGTGGCATTCATCAGCTAATTCTAACATGCATGCACTTATGTGTTTTCATAGGACAATTGTGGATTCCGGATTAAAATTTGTGGCTCATAGAGCATTTCTGAAAAACAGCAACTTGCAGCACATGTAAGTAAAGATTGATTCTTTGCTTCCCAGAACCCAGCTTAGTCCATATCTCCACTCCCTCTGTTTATTTTTCTTTTTTTCCAATTCTAATCCCCTTTTTTAAAAGTTAGTTTAGCTGTGACAATAGCTTAGAAACATTATCTTTGATTTCTGAATAGCTTCAGGAGGGTACTAGAACAGCCTGTTTATTCCCTTTCATGAATTTCTGGGCCACTTCCATCTAGGACAGAGCAATAGGCCAATGGCAAGAGTCTGATGTGAAAACTGTGTCCTGGTACAATGTCCTTGGTTTTTTTCCTTGGAATCATGACGTTCTCTGGAAGATATTAAACCAGTAGAGTTGAAAGAAACCGACTTGGCCGTGGCCTTTCTAGGGAACTAAAAATTACTAATGCCTTGCCCTCCACAAGAAATCCTCTTTGAACTTTCATTTTTAAAATGCTCTCTGTCATGATTGACAGAAGTGAAGAAAAGTCAATTATGGGACATGCCAAAGTTTTAGGCAATTATTAACAATAGCAAATGCTTCCCCTGACGTCCGTCCTGTTGAAGATTTATCAACTGAGGTCAAATGAAAATAAAGTGGGGCAAGAGAAGATCTTAAGTTACTGGCTGCTAAATCCTGTTAGATTATGGCACTTAGTCAATAATGTGTGGCCTTCCTAAAAGGTTTCATATTTAAACAGAGAATCACCCACCCTTAAGCTCAGATTGGGGTCCCCATGTCCTGATGAAAATAAGGGACCTTCTGCTGGAGAAACGTTGCCTGCGTTCACTGGCCCTTTTGTGCTTTATGAATTCCCTGTGGCAATACCTTATGTGTCTCATAGTTACCTGCATTATCTCACTTGATTTTTCTACCAGTTGGTAGGGGAGATCATTTCTACTCCCATTTCATGGGCAGAAAATCAGGCTGAGGGAGGTGTAGGGCATTCTCAGGTCCACAGATTGAAGGTGACAGAATTAGGACTCCACGCCTCACCCTTGGCCGGGTTCTTCTGGTAAGTACAGAAATAAAACCAGTGCCATCTCTGCAACTAAGGATCAGCCATTCCTATAACATTCGTCCTCTTTCTTTTTGTGGGGAGACTGGTTCTCCAATCGATTTCCATGCCAGTTACAGAAGAAATCATTCTCTGAGAACTTGTTGCCTGGACTCTCTATGGAGATGTTTTGATATTATGAAAAAATCTTACTTTCATAAAGCTAGTATGTTGGCTTCATATTTTATAGGTGCCATTAATGACGAAGTCAGTTTAAAAAGAAAGTCTGTAGAATTAACATAAAAAACACTTGGCAGAAATGTAATAAAACTCCAAGGAACTTAACATATTTCACTTAAATGCTTTTGGCATCATTGCTGTGGTTGGTTTACCTGCATAGATCTGAGGTCTGCGAAGTCCTTGACAGCGTAAACAGGAGAGGTCGGAGAGGAGAGGTGAAATGCCCTAATGCAATCACTTAAATGTAATTGATGACCTCATTAGTTAATTTCTGGTATTTTCATTATAGCTGACTTTAGACCCAAATTACTCAACAACCACATTTTATTGGCTCTTTTACCATATCACTTCCCCTATTGTGATTTTTGTTTCGTGGGCTATGGTTAATTATAGTTTTAGTAATAGACTTGATTATTTCTTTAGGGTACCTTTTATATTTTCCTGCTTTTCTTGTTGCATGCTATTTTTAGGAAACCAAAGCCACTTTGTGTATTTTTTTCAGGGTGATACATGATAGAATAATTTTAGTGGCATTCTGTGTGTTGTGCATAACTTATATAAAGCCAGGTATCTATCCATGTCTTGCAAAGAGGTGCCATTTAAAAATAGAAAACAAAAGAGATGGATATCCCTGGCTGGTGTGGCTCAGTGGGCTGAGCTTGAGCCTGTGAACCAAAGGATTGTTGGTTTGATTCCCAATCAGGGCACATGCCTGGGTTGCAGGCCAGGTCCCCAGTAGGGGACACAGAAGAGACAACCACACATTGTTATTTCTCTCCTTCTTTTTCTCTCTCCCTTCCCCAATCTCTAAAAATAAATAAATAACTAAATAAATAGATAGATAGATAAATAAATAAAATCTTTGTTTTAAAAAGAGATGGACATATCCCATATAATTTCTTTAAAAGTCAATTGTCTGGAAGCCTAATCATTGGGCAAACAGCAAAAATGCCATTGATATTTGTAGGCATGGTTACATGGTAAGGCAGAATGAAGTCAGGCAAGTATTCAGACAGTTATGAAGAAGTCATGAAATTTCATTAAGGCTCACACATTTATGTGACAAAAGAGGCTCCTAACCAAAATAAGGAATTAAATTAAGTAGTTGGCTTTTGAGAATGGCAGGGAGGGAGGAGGGGCTCAAGGCCAGTGCTTGTCTTTCCAGACCTTAGTCCCAACCTTTGCTAAAGAGCAAGGACTTGGGGCAATTGGCTGCCTCTCCCTCGGTTTCCCACAAGTGAATTGCACCTTTAACTTGAATATCAGCATGACGGGTGACAGTGAGCTGAGAAAGAACTGTGTACCAGAAGCTGTTTCTCAGTGTCCCTGGAATATGCTGATCATCCCTGTTAGCTTCTCGGAGGTGAACAAATGTGCACCAGAGCATCTCATTTTGAGTTTTAAGGAAATTCAAATTGGTTCCTTCGCCACTCCCCGCTCCACCCTGGCATGGGGATTTTCCAGAGCCCCTGTGACTGGTCACTGAGTTTATTGCTTGGTGCCTTAATTCCGGCCCCCCCTAGAGCCCAGAGACTGTGAGAAAAGCCAGCATTTGTATTTTCCAGAAGCTTTACAGAGGTGCTAATTAGCTCCTTTTCAAAGTCTTATAATCAGACAGTAAGAGTATTGTTGATTTATTTTTCATCCCCTCCTCCTTCTCCTTTTTTTTTTTTTTTGGCTTTTGGCCCCAATAATAAGTATGGTTCATAAAACTCATCTTGTTCTTTGGCACGTAACCCGGCTCCGGGCTGTGCTGCTGGCACCCAGATAGGGGCAGCTGCTCCTGGTGCCGGCTCGCTGGCTGACCCAAGAGCCTTGACAATGAGTGTCCTTTTCTTTGCTCTTCTCTCCTGTTCTCCTTGGGAGGAAGAGCAGGTTCCCGTTCCTCCTCCTCCCTCCCCACATACCTCCCACAGAAGGTTGGGGGATTCTGAAGAACATGAAAATATTTGTGTCTCCAAGACTGTGGGGAGGACAGGCAGGTTGACTCGTCAATGTATTATACTCCAGTGAAAGCTATTCTTAATTCACAGTCCGAAAGAAAAGATTTTCTGTGGCCACATTTTTAAACTTCCATGTAGAGTACCTTTTCTTTGTGGGTGAGCACTCCGACACTCAGAGTGAAAAGAGAAGACGCATGCACAGAAGGCAGAGGGCACCCTGGTGTAGGTCAGAGTTTGGGTGAGTGGAAATGTCAGCGTAGAACAAACTGAGGAGTGGGCACGCATCCTTAACTTATGAGGCACAAAGGGAGCATTTTCTTTATTCATGGATGAGCTCCTGGGCTGAACCCCTTCTGAAGGTTGGACACACCAAGATACTATTAATGGATGACTTTGTTAGGCTGACACAAAGACTAGCTCACATAAGGGTCCAGGATTACTGTCACCCTCGGGTCTCCCATCCTCATCTGACTCTCAGCCCATCACTTACTTCAGGAAACACACCGAAAGGCTCACAGCAATTCTTTGAGGTCTTGGCTGTTTTTGTGAAAGTTGATGTTTGTTTTATATTCATGTTACTTACTAAACACATGTCTAGGGGCCTGATCACTGGACACTTTTAAAATAAATTCAACTAGTAAACAGATTCACAGATTCAGCTGCCAGGATTATGGCTCAGAATTCCCCTGATCAGGGTCTCATGGCATTGATCAGTGGAAACTACAACTCCTGTACACTGAAAAAAAACTACATGTTTAGAACATGTCAGTAAATTCAGCATTATTTTTTCAATCACAAATATGCCACCTTCTCAATGATTGGTCCAAATGTTAAAATGACATGTAGCTAGAGTAGTTCAAGAGAATATCTGACATATTTCTCAGGATCTGATTTTTTGTTGTTCTCATTGTGGTATCAGCTGGTTATTTAGAAGTCATAAATAAACAATCTCAGCAGAGTTTATCAGCCAGTAGGTGTGTTCTTTCCTATAAGGATGTATTAAGTCCAGTTCATATTCAGAGTTATGTATGTGAACATGACTTCATTTGAACATGACTTTATCTGTCATTGAACATGACTTCAAAATATTCATGATGCTTTTTAGTTTTAAAGCATCTTTTCTCCCTGGTGAGTTTGTGGTTTTAAATGAAATTAAATTGAATGTTTCTATTAATTGTTTAAAAGGTCAGAAATCTCCAGGAGGTATATAACTTGGCTCTGAATCGGCATAAGAAAAATAAGCCTTTGGGTTAAAAAAGAGATTTAAAATAAACAATATGAAAATTTTATGCTTCTTCCTCCATTGGCAAAAATTATAGCAGAGGCAGGAAAACGAAGCTGTTACTTCAACTGGGAGAGATGACTGGGTCTAAGTAAGGCCTGAGCCAGGATCAAATAAATTTATATTGTGAAAAAAGTCTCTATTTGAATACTTTATTTCTGAAATGTATCATTTTAGAGTCACATTTCATGTTTTTGATTCCTTCCAGCAATTTTACCCGAAATAAACTGACGAGTTTGTCTAGGAAACATTTCCGTCACCTTGACTTGTCTGAGCTGTAAGTAATGATTTTGTGTTTGGGAAAACAGTTTTGCAAGAAGGGCAACTAAGTATTTTCTTTAATGAGTGATGCTGCAGATCTATTTTTATGCCAAAATTTTGAAAAAAGATTTCTCAAGTTTTGGTTACTTATTTTTTTTCCCTCATGAAGACATGATTCAGCAATAAAAGTAGAAACCTCAGTAATAGATCATTTTTAATGAATTTAAATATTATTTTTACATAAATGAATTATTTTCTAATGAAGGGAAAAGGGAAAAAGATGGAGGCTTTCTGTGGAAATGATTGCGTATCTCCTGGCATCTGTTTGGTCTCTATGATGTCCAGACCCTAGCGCAAGGGTGTCAACTCCTTAATAGTTAAGGAGTGGTTACATTTATCCAGTCCTAAAATTGCATTCGGCCCTTTGAAGGCAACTGCAAGGCTGATGTGCCACTGGGCGAAAATGAGTTTGACACCCCTGCCCTAGGGGAGCAAAAACCCATTTAACGAGAAGGCCACTGTGGGCAAATGTGCCAGCTTTTACCCACTGACCACTGCCTGCTGGTGCTTCGTGAACACTGGAGGACGGGTAGACCTTCTCCCTACTTACCCCTTCTTGTCTGATTTTCTTCTGGGTCTGCCACTGCATTCAGTACTTACCCTTATGCCCCAATTTCCTTGGCTATAAAGTGATAGGAAAAACATTGAAATGTATTGATAAATAATAGCCAGCATTTCCAAGTGTGTTTGACTTTTGTGTTATCATTATGGAGCTCGTGTAAATGGTTTACATTCCTACGGCTAAGGTGCCCAAAGAACCCTAAAGCAGAGGCTCTGGGCAGCAGTGGTGGGCCCAGGTGGACAAGACCTTCAAATACCAGGCAAAACTTTTGCCTACACTGTATGTTGCCTGAGTTGTAAGGTCCACCCAGTTGTAGGGTGCAGATCAGAAGATGTCACTAGTGGTGCAACAACAAGCTAATTGATAGTAATGGTGGTTACAAGGTAAAAGTCTTAGTGATGGGCAATTATTTGGAATAAAGTGAATTCCGGTAGCTGGAGTACTAGGTTTACCTGTAACCCAGAAATAGACATGAAAAACTTAAGGAAGATATATGAAATAGAGTAAGGAACTCTGTAAAAAAAATTTTAAGCATCACTGCAGGAAATACTCTTGGTGGGTTAAAAATTATAGTTCTGATTCCAAATTCATATGTTTCAATATTCTCCCTGCAACATATTTAATCAATTCATTCAACAAATGTTAATTGTGTCCTGTTACAAATCAAAGTACTGTGGCACTAGGCCATGGCAATATAAGAACTGTTTCTGTGTTCCAGGATTCTGCTCTCTGGAGGGAGAGGGAGAGGGAGAAGCCTAAACAAATAAGCATAATAGCAATCACTGCAAAAGGAGTTTGCACAGTGAGCTAGAGGGAGAAGCCAGTTGTCTGCCAGCATTTTGTGGTCATAGGAACACTGCTATACGTATAATTGAAGAACCCCTCACTTCTTTACCCCCTGTGTGGATTCAATCAGACTTTCTTTTCAGAAAGATTCTTCAGTGTTTTATGTACTCAGAATGCCAGGAAATAGCTTGGATTATGGGGGCTTGAACATTGTGGATCTCTTCTGAATTATATTCCATATCTGATAGCATCAAATCTTATTTTGGCTTTGGAGGGATACTTGGAGGCCATCAAGAAGACACAAATTAAATGAGTCTGCCATGACCACATTTCCCCCACAGAAACTCCTGTAAAAGACTCCAGGGATCCCTGAGATTCTTAGAACCCGACCAGAAAACCACAGGAGTAAATGATGTTGTGAAGCCCAGGTCCTGTCCTCATAGAAATCTTAAGTATTGTGGTTAATGCCAGGCAGAGCCTATGTAACGATTTTAAATGGCCTCATTTAAAGGCTCATTACCATAAATGGAATTCATCTTAAATGGACCACTGGGTATTATAAATAAGCATTTAAAGATTTTTTTCTTGTGGTTTTTATTTTCCTTTTTGACTACTTCCTCTCTCACCAGTCGCAGGCCACAGGAGTCCAGGCAGCATGGCTGAATGGTGGCTTTATCTCAGCAGACCCTCTCACAGTGGGCCAAGAGGCTCAATCTGGAGCTCAGTTGCACATGCTGTCTAAACTCCTGAGCACGTGTGCACATGCAGGCTGGAGGTCTAAGAGCTCCCTCCCAGATTCTCTCTCATGTTCACTCTGATTTTCTTGCATCAGTCATACTGACCTGTGGTTGCAGAAAGCTGTGAATGCCCCCTGATTAGCTCTCACACTTCAGTCTAGCATTGTATTTACAGTCTCATTTTAAATGAAAATGACATTGCTCTGCCCCCCACAAAGTCTGAGCTTATTAAATAACACTTCAGTCTCTAGCCTGACCGGAAATAAGGATGTTAGCATTCCTGAAAACTTCCTGTTGGCATCTTCACTTAAATCTTCTTAATAACTGTATAGTAACTGTGATAAATTTGTTATGGCACCTTATTTTCCCCATTTTATAAGACACCCTCTTCTATCCTACATTATAGCTATTTCTGTCCCTATCATTTTCCCCTGTTATTCTGAAAGGTCTTCATTTTGCATCATTTAGCTTTTACAGTGGTGCTTGCATGTAGCAGAAGGTCAGTAAGTATTAAATTAATGAATAAGTACCTTTATATTGTAAAGGTGGGTATGACTTTCAAAGATTGCTGGCTAGAAAAAATTTATAATTGTATAGTACTTCATGAACATGAATGTTGTTAAAATTAAAAGAGGGAAGCCTGACCAGGTTTTATTTTTGTTCCACGTAGGATCTTGGTGGGCAATCCATTTATGTGCTCCTGTGATATTATGTGGATCAAGACTTTTCAGGAGACTAAATCCAGTCCAGAAACTCAGGATCTGTACTGCCTAAATGAAAGCAGCAAGAATATCCCTCTGGCAAACCTGCAGATACCCAATTGTGGTAATTTACTTTTAAGTCAATGAGTTCTAGTTGCTATTAATTATTCTAATTGACATGGGGTGGTAGAGAGTCTGGGAAGATTACTACTACCCAGATTTTATACAGTATGCTGTTGATGTCTCCAGTGAGTTGAGCAACATTTGTGTACAGTGTGGAGAAATCAGCTGGGAGCAACTTTGCTGAACATTTTTTGCAAGTAAAATATTAATTTTGAATGTTGACTTTAAAGTGCACAGAGAAAAAAGTACACACTTTATTCCTTCATTTATTTGTCCATCCATGCATCCACACATCTCTTCATGTACCCATGTAACCATCCATGCATCCATCCATGCATCCATGTGTCCATCCATAGCTCCATCCATCCATTTATCCAACCACCCTCCCATCCATTTATCCATGCAAGCATCCATCCATCCATTCACCCACCCACCCATTTATCCATCCATCCTCCCATCCATTTATCCATGTAAGCATCCATCCATCCATCCATCCATCCTCCCATCCATTTATCCATGCAAGCATCTGTGTATCCATCCACCCACCCATCCATCCATCTATCCATCAATCCATCCACCCATTCATCACCCACCCATCCATTTATCCATCCATCCTCCCATCCATTTATCCATGCAAGCATCCATCCATCCATCCATCCATCCATCCATCCAAAAAGTATCTGCTAAGAGTGTGGTACTCCACTGGCCACAAATATACTTGGTTGGCACCCATGTCATGTAGAGGAAAGGATCTCAAGGTGATAAAGTGTCCTGGCAGCATGAGAAAATGTAGTTCAATCCAGCACATTCCCTTCAACTTGTCTTGCTGCCAGATGTCTGTGTCTTTTGATGGGACTCCACAGATTTGCCCTTATATGTACTTTCCCCCATGTCTGAGTTTTACAGTCTGTTCCTTTACTCTTGTCCACACTTCTCTCCTCAGCATTTACACCCCCAGAATTTAAAAGGGCACCATATGATAAAATCACAGCTTTCTGTAAGGGCTGGTGTGTTTATAGGGAAGGAGAATCTAAGAGCGCCTGTTAGGATCTTACCATTAAGGGCTTCTGTGACACACCTCTACAATACTCACATATTCGTATTATTCCTCTGTTAAAATTTTAATCAGTTAGTCAACCAGTTAATCAGTTCACAATAATATTTAATCTTCTGGTCTAGTGGCTGGTGACTTAGTACAAAGCCATGTAGCAGCTGGTTCTTGGCTGTGAGGAGTCTTCCTATTAAACCATAAACATCCGGTTCTTTGTTTTCAGAAGACCCTATTGTTGAGGGGCGATTTTCATTTAAGGAAAATACAGCTGCTGCTTATTTTTGATGAGAATGTAATAAAGAGAAAGATTAAGTGTTTGTTTCTTAACCTGTAGGGGCTTGGAAAATAGCAGTTACCCCCTTCCCACAGGTTTTTCTGTCATAACCAGAGATCTTTGTCTTCACAATGGAGGAATCGGGCTTTGTTCCCTTGCCAGCTTCCCTCAGCTTTCTTTGCTAGCCAACACTGAAAAAAAAAAACCCACTTTTAATATATGTCTTTTCCTGATTGATAAGAAGGTAACTGTTCTCTGTTCTGGTATAAATTTGCACCACTGAGAGAAATTGCCTAGAGGGACAAGAAATCCAATGTTGAGTCTCCTGCCCTCTTGGCCAGCTCCCAAATCCTCCCCATGGCTGTTGGGACCATGCTGGCTCAGCAACCACTGAGCACAAAACAGAGAAAGTTCTGACTCCTGCTCTGATTGTACAAACTGCCTCCTGATAGTGGTCTGTGTTGCCCTCACCTGAAACCACTTCTACTGGTTTTTATTTTAATTTTCAGTCAGGCTGTCTTGGGGCATTCTTGCAACGCACTTCACGCTGCATGTCGATGATAGACCATTGTGACTGAGGCAGGGGACCAGTGACAGTGGCCTGGTCCTGATTTTCCCTCAATTTGTCAATTTTCAATAATTTTTTATTTGATTTCTACAAATTAGTCAATGCATTGTGTGCATGAGCGTGAGATGTTGAAGGCAGCATCAGAGGGCATGGGCTTGATGGATCGATTAGGGTTTGTAACGTTCACAATTGATTTCAATGTCAACAATGCTTTTCAAAAAGCAACATTATAAAAGGAGAATTGATAGACTCCTTTTTCTACTGCTTTCATATTCTTACTGTTTTATTTTTCTGTTTATTTTTATTTTCTTTCTGTTTGTTTATTTATAATTGTACAACACATATTGGTACATTTTGTTATAAAAATACCCTCCCATATTACACATGAAGCTTGTCCTGTATTTGTTTGTGACCGTTGCAGGTCAGTAGCCACAGATCTATCATATTCTTTTTGATCATCGCATGGTATTCATCGCAGAATATGTCTTAATTACATTACATTTTCCATATTGATGGACATTTAGCTTATTTCCCATTTTTCCTTGCTATAAAAATGTTTCAATAAACATATGTACAGATGCAAAGACTTTTCTAGAGAACATAGTAGGAAGCACATTTTTTGGTTTTTATAGTTTGCACTTTAAAAAGTGGTCGTACCAATTTATAGCCACCCCAGAAAAGTGTATCTTGATATTAACAAATGTATTTTTGTCTAAGAAATAGTATACTATTGCTTTTTAGTCTGCCTTTTACTGTTTACTACTGAATATGTTCCGTGTTTATTGGACATTGTGTTTATTCTTCAGTGAATTGCCCATTTATAGCCTTTCTGTAGTTGCCTTTTCTTGCTTTTTCTTCCGTTGATAGTATTCTTTGTTTTATTTTTTCTTAATTCTTTGAAAGTTATAAATTATGTTTGTTTCTGTAACTGTATAATGACAAAACACCACACATATTGAAACATATTTTCTGTATGTATCTAGAGCTAACCCTTCACACGATATTTTACTTCTCTTTGCTTCCTCCTCCCAGCTCTCACATTGTTCTCATCTGGGATTTTGTTTTTAGATTGTTACTTGATTTTTGGGAAGATTTACTATTTTTTTGTCTGTATCACTGACTTTTACTTGTATTTTACCACTTCATCTTTGAGTGTTTTTTTTTTTGGAGTGTATTCTCTAGTACTTTTTTCAGGGAAATTAAAAAAATAAAATTGTCATGTTCTTGCCTGCAATCAGCCTGTATTTTTTCTTCTTAGTGGTATTGGCTGAGTGTAAAATTCTAGACTCAGAAAAACACTAGAATTTTGCAGTTATTGTGCCATATTTCCCTGTATTTCAGTGTTGCTGATGAGAAGCTTGAGGCCAATCTGCGGCTTATTTCTTGATAGGTAACCTCTGCTTTTCCTTTTCCTCTTGAAGCTTTAAAAAGTTTCTTCTAATTCATGTTATTCTTAAATTTTACCACAGTGTAACTAAAGGGGTGTGTGTGTGTGCGTGTGTGTGTGTGTGTGTGTGCTTAAAAATTATTCTGGTTGATATCCAGCATACTATTTCAGTATGAGTGTTCATGTCTTTAGTTCTGAAAGAATTTTCTAATTTATTTAGATGACTATTCACACTTCCGGCCCCTCCCTTCATACCTCTCATCCTTTCTGTAATACTTTCTGTAATACTTTCCATCTGCTCGTTCTTTTGTGCTGCATTATGGGAGAATTGGCTTCCTCACTACTTTGCCCTTCAGCTATTTTTGCAGCTACTGAAATTTTTTCTTTCAACAATCAATGTTTAATTTCTACGATCTCCAGTGATAGGTGGTTGTGATTGAAATGCCTTTTCCACCTTGGGGCTCACTACATCTCTAGCTTGTTACAGCACCTGGCATGACTGATTTCTTCCTGTCAAGTTCTTGCCCTCATTGCTTCTAGTTGGGGTGGCGGGGGGCCGTGCTCCAGCTGTTGTTGGGTCTGTGCCCACGATGGGAAGGTAGGTAGGGGTGGGATGCGGACAGTTTATTCCTCCTGTTGTTAACCAATGCCCCTGTGGCTTGGCCTAGGTGGGTCTCTACTCTGCCTTGCAGTTCACCCCTTCAGTCTTGGGTGGGCTTACCGCCTCCCTGTTTTGTCTCATACATGCCATGTATTCATTTGGAGCTGGGCTGTTTTTCTTTAATCCTATTTTCCTGCTTTCTCTTGTTCAGAGGCTCCTCAGTTTCTCATCCCTCAGCAGTATGCTTTCTTGTTTTTCAACATGGTTCTGCATTTTAAACAGTTTTGCATCATTTTTAGAGATTTGAGATTCAAGGGGGAAACTTCAATATAGGGCTTAGTCATGCATTAATTTTCTTCATGATAGTTTCCCTTCTTTAAAGAGAAGTAAGATAGAAAGTAAATTACACTAGATTTTTGGTGTTTCAATTCTGTCTCTGAAACTCCATGTTGAAGAAAACAGATAATGTGCTCACATCTTCAAGGTAGACCTTGTTGAAAACATAGATTCATGCTCAGTGGCTTTTCCATTGGATCTCACCCATTGCAAACTTTTAAACATATCTGTTGTGTTTAATTAAGTCACAGTATGTTGAATTCATGTTAGTTCCATTTTTTTTTGTGATAAAACTTTTTAGCTTACTCTAAGAGTGACTCAGAAGAATGTGGCCTTGTGTGTTTAATCATTGTAAACCAATTTGCCAATAACTATGGCCATTGCATATAGTTTGCAACTAGTGATATTTTAATTTCAGTAAAAAGAGCTATTGGGATTTAATTTTTTACAAGGTGGGTTTTCTTTAAAAATGTCTCCTTTATTAAAGAGTACACATTGCCAATTATAAAAATAGTCACTGGATATAAAATGTACAGCACAGGGAACAGAGTCAATAATACTCTAATAACTATGTATGGTGTCAGATGGATACTAAACTTATCAAGGTAATTGCTTCATAATGTATCAAGGTAATTGCTTCATAATGTATATATAAAAGTCTAATCATCATGTTGTGCACCTGAAACTAATATAACACTGAATGCCAACTGTGATTAAAAACAAATACAAAAATACTTCCCATTTTTTATATTTTTTGTAGGATTATATGGTTGACAAATTGTCT